TCTTGCTGATGGACATTAGCTTGTTTCCAGTTTTTGGTTATTGTAAATAAAGCTACTACAAGCATTCGTCTTTTGTTGGCATAAGTTTTCATTTCTCTTCAGTAAATATTAGGAATGGAATTGCTAAGTCAAAGGTTAGGTGCATTTTAAAAAAATTTATTTATTGAGGTCACATTGCTTTATAACATTATATAAATTTCAGATGTACATGATTATATTTCAACTTCTATATAGATTGCACCGTGTTCATTACCAAAAGTCTAATTACCGTCTGTCACCATACAAATGTGCCCTTTTACCCCTTTCACTGTCCCCCCTCCCACTTTGTAACCACCAGTCTATTCTATTGGCTTCTGTCACCTGAAGATAACCACCAGTCTATTCTGTGTCTATGTGTTATTTTTATTTTTATTTTCATTTTTTTAAAAAATTGGCACCTGAGCTAACAACTGTTGCCAATCTTCTTTTTTTTCCTCTCCTGCATTTTCTCCCCAAATTTCCCCAGTACATAGTTGTATATATATATTTTTTTAGTTGTGGGTCCTTCTAGTTGTGGCATATGGGACACTGCCTCAACGTGGCCTGACAAGCGGTGCTATGTCCATGCCCAGGATCCGAACTCATGAAACCCTGGGCTGCCAAAGCAGAGTGCTCGAACTTAACCAATTGGCCATGGGGCTGGCCCCTATTTTTGTTTTTTTATCTTCCATATATGAGTGAAATCATATGGTATTTGGCTTTCTCTGTCTGACTTATTTTGCTTAGCATAATACCCTCAAGGTTCATCCATGTTTTCGTGAGTCATGAGATTTCATCTTTCTTCATTCCTGAGTAGTAGTCAGTTGTATATTACATATTTTCCATCTTCCTTATCCATTCATCTGTTGATGGGTACTTGGGTTGCTTCCATGTCTTGGCTATTGTGAATAATGCTGATATTCTATCACCACTTATTTAACCTCTGGCAGTCTGAATTTTGCCTTCAACCACTCTTCTGAAACTGTTTTTGAAAGAGTCAACAACCATCTTCTAGTCAATAAATCTAATACTCTTTCTTTTTCAGTTCAGTTTGTCTTTGGCCTGTTGACAGGCACTGTTAGCCATGTCTTTCTTCTTGATGGTCTCTCCTTCCTAGACTTCTGTGGTTTTCCTCTTCTGGTTCTCCTACATCTATCTTCCCTGATTCCTCTTTCACCTGTAAAGGTAGTCTTTACCAAGAGTTCGCCCTTGGCCCACTTCTTTCCTTGGTGATCTCCTTTAACCCTTCTTCAGATGCAGACCTCATCTGTTTCTCCAGCTCTACTGCTCTTCCATTCTTCAGTTGCTTGTTAAACATGCCTCACGATCATCTCGAGTTTGATATTTTAAAATGTCCCAATTTTCAGTCAAACCTGAGATTCTTCCAGGGGGTCTGTTGACAGCACCCTTATCTTTGCAATCACTTACACTTAAAACCTTGGCATTTTCTTTGATCTTTTTTCCTTTTTGTTTCCCATATCTAACTAGTTGCCAAGTCTAACAGTTTTAGCTTCTGTAATATCTCTCACCTCTATCTTCTCCGTTTCTCCTGTCACTGTCCAAATTCAGGCCTCATTTCAGTCACTCTTTTACAGTGACTCCCTCCTGAACTCCCTAATATAGAATTATAGAAAGAGCATGGGTTTTGCAGTCAGATGGACCCAGGTGATAATTGTGAACATGGCACTGACTCTCTGATTTATAGGAAATTATTTAAACTCACTTTACAGATGAGAGAATTCAGACACAGAAGTTAGTCGTTCCTACCTCGTGAAATACCCCATTTTGAAGGATAAATGGGACAATGTGTGCCTAATGAGAAAGCACTGAGAAAATATTATTTCTCTCTCCCTACTTTTAATCTCTTTACAATACATTAATAGATTAATATTATTTAAGCATAGCTTTAATCGTATCAGTCTCTTGCTCTTCAGTGTTTCCCCATTGCCTAATTTGCCTATAATTTTTAGCCACTGTATCAGATGATTAATTTGCTTCAATCTTTTTGACCTTATTTCTTCCTACTCTTCATAAACATCGTTTGAGCTGACCAAAACCACTACCAGTGTGCAATAGCAAAGTTGTTAAGAGCGTGAGTTCTAGAGTCAGGCTGCCTGGATTTAGATCCCAGTTCATTTACTTACTTTGGGCAAATTACTTAATCTCCTTAAACCTTAGTTTCCTGTTGGAAAAACTGGGATTATTATAGTGCCTACTGCGTTGGGTTCTTGGAAGGATAAAGTAAGAACGTGTCTGTACAGCACTTGGTGCCTGAACATTGCCGGGCACATTGAGAGCAGCCTTGATTAGTGGGAGGAGTAGAGGTGGTAGTAGTAATTCTTGTTGATGCTGTTAGTATTTGCTTCTCTCATTTCTGTCTCCACGCGCGTGCTCTTTTCTCTGCATGGCATGCAGTTCTTCACATTTGTACCTCTCTAAATTTTATCCATCTTTAAAGAGCTTCCCTGGTTCTCTTACTGCTCCTGTGTCACCACCTTCCCCCTAGTTATCTTTCCTCTTCAGAATTCCTTAGCTCTTTGGTTTAGAATGCTTATTACCTTCATATGCTGATCTGTCTGTCCATTTATCTTTAAAAGACTAGAAGTGCCTTGAGAGCAGATTGTATAACTCATTTTTTGTATCTTCCTAAAGAGTGTCATCTTACACAGAATCATGCCAAAAAGTATTTGCTTGATAAATATATTTATTCCCTATAACCAATAGTCATTTGATTCTGAGGGATTTGCTCCTTCTCCTTAGGAACTTTTTGTAAGCTCTCCATTAATTGGTGGTACATTTTGGGGAAAATTTAATTTTGTCACAAAAATGCCTTTATTGGGCTCAAGGAGACTAAAGAAAAGGCATTGTAGCAGAAGACAGTAGCAAAAACCAAAACAAAAACCGACTAGGTGACGTTGCTTTGGTCAGCAAAATTATTGTTATTTTCCTAGTTTGTTGTTGTTCCAAGTCCACTCTATACCTAATAGTGCCTATCATGCTGCCAAATTGAAGTGTGAAGTAATAAGCATTTGTGGATAACAATGGGTCTAAAATCTGTTTTACTGAAATAAAAAATAGCATATGTAACATAATACATTAAAATATGATTAAATGTCTCATTCAGTTTGTTAAAATGAGAAATTGTCCCTTAGGGGTATCACCCTCATATTGTGTGCAGATGGAGTTTTCTCTTGGCGACCATTCCCACAGGTCTGGGGAGGGGATGGCGTGGGAGTAGGGGAACCTCCACTTGAGAATTTCCTTCCCACCGTGACTTGGCTCAGCTCCAGCCTCTCCTTCAACTTGACACGTGCCTTGTCCTTGTTAAAGGAGGCTCGTCATTTGCTTTCATGCCTTTAAAAATATTTCTGGTCATTTTGAATTAATTTATAAATTGTATACTATCCAAGAGGCAAGTGTTAGAAACCTAATAAATATTTAATTTATATATACATTTATTTCTTAAATAGATATTGATCAATACATTAAAATGGTAATATTTTTCCATTCAAGAATGGCCATAGCTTACTTGGCCATAAAAAGCTAACGTTTTCTAGTTATAATACAGAGTATTATTTGGGTTTTTTGGTAAGGTAAACTTGTATACTTTAGAGGTATGATTTATATAATCTGTTTAGTTGTTAGGTGGTTTAATGCTTAGGGCCCATATTAAGGATTTCTTTTTTTCATCCAAAGCTAGTTCTCCCTTACTTACTGCTGAGGGGCTGGGAGGGAAGGAAGAGGGATACAAAACATGACTAATTGGTAGACCAATTGCATATATTTTTAAATTGTGAGTTTTTTTCCTCTACTGATATAAAACTTGGTATAATACTTTACAAAGACATTTAATATTTTATTTTCATATCAAAATCTCAAGGAACTTTATTGAGAGACCTTGTAGTTAGCTTGGGCCCAGAAGAAATTTAAGAAAATGTTATCCCGTATTAGCATTTTCTGCTCGACTTGAGTAAATATTTTTTTGTGCTATGTGGATTTTTGTGTTTTTTATGAACTGTTTAGGGAAGCTTTTCTGCTGTAACGGCTGAATCTAAGTTGCAGAGATTTAAGCCCTTCCTTATATTAATGTTCCACCTCATTAACTTCATTGTTACGGCTTTTACACTTCAGTGATTTAAACAAGATGATCTAAATGTAGTCCTGTTGTCCTCTCTTTCCCTCTGTCTCCCTTTTGAGGTCTAGATGATTATGTATTTAGTTTTCTGTTTTCATTTAGACTCTTGTTAATTCTATTAAGCACAAGATGATGATGAAGGGAAGCTATTGTATAACTAAATGTCTTCTGCTGCCACATCGCTGACAGATAAGGGAATGTGTTTGTAAAGATAAACTGGCCACTTCTTCAACTGGTGTTTTATCATTTTTACCTTCCAGTGGTCTTCGGAGACTAGGAACTTGATAGCTATAAGACTCCATTCTATTGTGGAGTTCAGATCAGTGATTATATATGAGCTGTCACATCTATCTCATGGTATTTATAGCCCTGGAACCCAAATAAAGGAGAACTTTGCTTAAAAAGCAAGCTATGTTTGTCCTCAAAAACGTTTTCTAAGCATTTTCAAAAAAGTAGGAATTATGCAATGAATTGTCAGCAAAGTCACCTTTGCAAATATTTGCAACTACTTGCAAATAGTAGACCTATTTAGTCAGTAAGGGTTTTTTCTACATGATTGACTGCCAGATGTGAGTATGTCTTAGCGCTATATACCCCACATGCAAGTTAGATGTCTTTGTTAAAAATGTAGAGAAAAAGAAATTAATGTAACTTGAATTCAGGGGGATGAAGCTGTCATGTTGTCAGACTTTTTGCTTTTTAAAAAATATTTAATTACTAAGATATATTAAATAATTTTATGAAGATTATATTTGACCTGTTTAAACTAAGCAGTGAATTCCATTTTACATTAGGTATTGACATGAGATATTGATGCTTATTTCTAACCATTTCTTTTATTTTCTAGCTCACCAGCGACTGGAGCCAGCAACTCTGTCAGGGATTGTGGCATTTATCCTTAGTCTTTTATGTGGAGCTCTGAATTTAATTCGAGGCTTTCATGCCATAGAAAGTCTCCTGCAGGTAACTGTGCTGTTTTTGCAATTTCAGGTGACTGTGCCTATTGATTCTACTTGTTACACAGTTGATTTGAATTGATTTGGGTATCAGTACAACTTACAGTGCATGCTGAGATTCTGTGTTCTTTATACCTGCCCTAGTCTCCCCTTCCACTAAAAACACTGGTTTCTAGTGGGCTTCTTTGACCCAATTAGCTCATATTTATTATCTGTTCTGCAGGAGGCACTGTTTATAGGTACTCTTGGGACGCCAAGATATGTGTGACATGGGCACTGCAGTCTCAGGGCCTAGAGTTGAATTGGGGAAGCAAAGAAGTCCTCGAATAATAGCCAAGTGCACAGAGTTTGGAAGAGGAGCAGTCGGCATGAGTCCGGATAGGAGAGGAGGCTTAGTGGAGGAGGGTAAGCTGGGCCCGGAAGGATCTGAGTGGACACAGAGAGTGGAAGAAAGAAGGGAGCATTCATGGGCAGGTGTTTGTGCCACCTCTGGGTATTCCAACTTACCTGCTCTTTTCCTTTTTTGGTGGTGGCTACCTGTGAAACCACTGATTATTTCATGGATTGCCGACTGTTTTGTTTTCCAGTGGAGATCTTCCAGAGACTGTGGCTTACCAGAATATACTAACTTCTCCTCTTATTCTTTTTGTAAACTTTTTGAAACTTCCTTTCTTCAAGTTTAGCATATTTCAAACTGCACAGCTTTCCTTTCCCTTGTTTCTGCTTACTTTCTCGGAAGATTTTTTGACACTTCCACATTGTAAATTAGTTATTTTTGTTGCCGTTCAGCATTAAGCTCAGAATACCATTTGCAAAAATCTACTCAACACACCTTCTATTCTGTTTTTTTTGGCAAGATTAGCCCTGAGCTAACATCTGCTGCCAATCCTCCTCTTTTTGCTGAGGAGGACTGGCCCTGAGCTCACATCTGTGCCCATCCTCCTCTACTTTATACGCAGGAATGCCTACCACAGCATGGCTTGCCAATCCGTGCCATGTCCGCACCCAGGATCTGAACCGGCGAACCCCGGACCGCCAAAGGGGAACGTGTGCACTAAACTGCTGCACCACAGGGCCAGCCCCTCTATTCTGTTTTAAAATTACTGTAGTTTGGGGAACATGCAGAGAGCACCATTCTGAATATCCTCTGAATGTCCTCAGCTGTTTGAAGCCCAGAGCAGAAGACATCACAGGTTCCAGGCAGCTGAGCTGTCCCTCGAGGGAGTGGGGGGTTTCTCGTGACTCCCCAGTTCTTCCTCCAAACATCCTGGGCCCTCAAGTAAAGCCCCTCTTCCCTTTCAGACACAGGACAGCTGGCTATTGTCCCTTGGTATTCTTGCCCCTGTTCCCTAGCCGGGTTAGCTTTATTCCATCATGAGTTCAATTTTGAGCCAGTTAGACAACCCGGCCAAAAAGAAACAAAGGCAATTTGGAGACTGCTGCCTGAAAAAAGCTAATAAATAAGATACTTTATTTTTTTTTTAACTTGATGTAGTGGAAAGAACAGTAGTGTAGGTGTGTGAAGAGTTGATTTTTGTTTGTGTAAGAGAGAGAGAGGATTGGCTGTAGCTCAGCTGCTGATTAACTCTATGACCTTGAATAGCTCTACCTTAGTTTCTGGTCCTCAGTTTCATTCCTTATAAAATGAAGGAGAAGGGTGCGTTTGATGAGTATTTCTGAAAGTATAGGACGCATTTACCACCGGTTACACAATAGATGACTTTAGGTGGTAGACAGGTACACATTTTTAATTTTAAGAATTATGTATTTAATGTATATTAATGTGTAGAATCTATGTTTGGTAAAGGATACTAGTTTCTATTAATGGTAGAGATATAAAATTTCCCTTTTAAAATAAACTTTAATAAAAACTCAACTTTATGAAATTTGTTACATTAGTAATGGTATAATTAGTATTTAGAGTTGGCAAAAATTGTGAAGGTGGTACTCTAAGGTTAAAATTCTATGGTTAAATTCTCTGGTTGTTTCAAATTAGCAAATTAATAAACAAGGTGGGAGAGATGGACTGGATAGAGAAAAGCTTTTATACCACAGAGTCTTAGCATCCCTGACTCAGAAGACAGCGCATAAATTGTGAAACCTGGGGCTTAGACCACATTGCTTTTAAGATAAAATTCAGACAAGACTGTCGTACCTCACAAAACCTGTTAAAGGAAATAATTTCTTTCAGGCACTCAGATATCCTATCATATGCTATCCTATCCTGTCCTCTTCCTGCACTGCTTCCCTTTTCCCTCCTCTGATTCACAACTTCAAAACTAAAGAAAGTAGTATAAACTACAGCTTTTCATGCTTTTGAGCTGCTACACCTCGCTAATGCCTGCCTTGATTCCTAAGTGTTTCATGTTCTCCCTCTGCCTCGTTGCATTTGAGGTCTTTTAGGTTTCAGAAAAACAATAATCTTACTAAACTAATTACCGCTATGTGTAACTAACTGATAGCTCTGATTCTCAGCCTATTTACATCTTAAAAAGACAACATTACAGAAGAATCTCTCTCATGAACATAGATGCCGAAATCCTCAACAAAATATTAGCAAATTGAATCCAACATTGTATAAAAAGAATTATACACCACAACCAAATGGGATTTATTCCAGGTATGCAAAGCTGGTTCAACATTTGAAAATCAGTTAGTGTAATCCATTACACAAGAGTCTAAAGAAGAAAAATCATATCATATCAGCAGATGCAGAAAAAGCATTTGACAAAATCCAATACCCATTCATGATAAAACTCACAGCAAACTAGGAATAAAGGGGAACTTCCTCCGCTTGATAAAGAACAGAAACCCTACAGCTGACATCATACCAGATGAGAAACTATGCTTTCTCCTTAAGAGTGGGAACAAGGTAAGGATGTCTCTCCTCTCACCACTCCTATTCAACATCATACCTGAAGACTTAGTTTTAATGCACTAAAACAAGAAAAGAAAAAAAAGAGTATACAGATTGGGAAGGAAGAAATACCACTGTCTTTATTCACAGATGACATGATTTTCTATGTAGAAAATCTCAAAGAATGAACAAACTCCTGGAAGTAATAAGTGATTATAACAAGGTCACAGGATCCAAAGTTAATACACAAAAGTCAATTGCTTTCCTATATATCAGCAAGGAACAATTGAAATTTGAAATTAAAATCACAATGCTATTTATATTGGTACCCCTAAAAATGAAGCACTTAAGAATAAATCTAACAATATATATATAAGATCTCTATGAGAAAAACTATAAAACTCTGATAAAAGAAATCAAAGAAGATCTAAATAAATAGATATTCCATGTTCATGGATAGGAAGACTCAATTATTGTAAAGATGTTGGTTCTTCCCTACTTGATCTGTGGATTCAACACAATCCTAATCAAAATCTCAGCAAGTTATTTTGTGGATACTGACAAAGTGATTCTAAAGTTTATATGGAAAGGCAAAAGACCCAGAATAGCCAGCACAATTCAGAAGAAAAAAGAAGAAAATCAGAGGACTGAAAGTACCCAACTTCCACTTACTGTTAAGCTACAATAATTAAGACAGTGTGGTATTGGAAAAAGAATAGAGAGATCAGTAGAACAGAATAGAGAGCCCAGAAATATACCCACGCAAATATAATCAATTGATCTTTGAAAAAGGAGCAAAAACAATTCAGTGGAGAAAGGATTTCTTTCTAACAAATGGTGCTGGAACAGCTGGACATCCACATGCAAAAGAATGAATTTAGACACAGATCTTACACCTTTCACAAAAAAGTTAACTCAAAGGGTCACAGGCCTAAATGTAAAACACAAAACTATAAAACTTATAAAAGGTAACCAGAGAAAACCTAGGTGACCTTGGGTTTGATGATGAATTTTTGGTGCAACACCAAAATCGTGATCTGTGAAAGAAAAAATTGGTAAATTGGACTTAATTTTAAAAATTCTGTTCTTTGAAGGACATTGTTAAGAGAATGAAAAGGTAAGCCAGAGACTAGGGGAAAAATATTTGCAAAAACAGTTCTGACAAAGGGCTTGTATCTAAAACATACAAAGAACTCTTAAAACTCAAGAAAGCAAACAACCCAGTTAAAAAATGGGCAAAAGAACTGAACAAACACCTCACTGAAGTAAATATGCAGGTGGCAAATAAGCATACGAAAAGATGCTAAGCATCATATGTCATTAAGAAATTGCAAATTAAAACAACAAGATACCGCTAAACATCTATAAAATGACAAAATCCAAAAAACTGACAATACCAAATGCTGATGAGGATGTGGAGCAATAGGAACTCTCATTCATTGTTTATGGGTATGCAAAATGATAACAGTCACTTTGGAAGACAGTTTAGCTGTTTCTCACAAAGTTAAACATAGCCTTACCATGTGATCTAGCAATCATGTTCCTAGGTATATTTATCCAAATGAGTAGAAAACTTAGGTCCACACAGAAACCTGCATGTGAATGTCTGTATCAGCTTTATTCATAATTTTGGAAAATTGGAAGCAACAAAGATGTCTTTCAAAAGGTGAATGGATAAACAAACTGACAATCCATGCAATGGATTATTATTCAGTAATAAAAAGAAAGAAGCCATCAAACCACAAAACGACGTGACTAAACCTTAAATGCATATTGCTTAATGAAAGAAGCCAGCCTGAAAAAACTACATAGTCTGTGTTTCCAACTATATGACATTCTGGAAAAGGCAAAACTATGGAGACAGTAAGTAAAAGGATTAGTGCTTGCGGGGGGTTAGGGGGAGGAAGGGATAAATAGTTGGAGCATGAGATTTTTAGGACAGTGTAACTGCTCCGTAACTGTAATGGTGGATACATGTCATTATACATTTGTCGAAACCCGTAGAATGTACAACACAAAGAGTGAACCCTAACATAAACTATGGACTTTAGTTAATAATCATGTGTCACTCTGGGTTCATCAGTGTAAAAAATGTACCACATTAATGCAAGATGTTAGTAATAGAGGAAACTGTGGACCGAGGAAAGAGC